AAGTGTTAGAAATAAGTTGAGATCAACAAATTCGTTTAATGTAAATGTAGCAAAACTTGCAGACTATCATCTAAAACAGAAACATCCAAAGTTGCATGCATGTCCCTGTGCTGACTCAATAGTCCAATTTTTTACTGCTCTCACAAGTATGTACAACAGTATAAGTAGAAAACTGCAATCAGCATATATGTCCACAAAACTGTCACAGAGCCTTACACCCAGTGCTGTGGCAGATTGACTAAAATTAGACATGATCTGCAGAAGAATTGTGCAACACAAACTGTACATGATAAAAAAAAGATTTAAAACAGTTCAAACTGTGACCACAACAAATACAAGGGAACTACCAATCTCTTGCAGTAGAAAAATCCTATCTCCTGCTATATAGAACAGCTTTAAAGCGTCGCGTACGTGAAATGTTTTGTTTGCAGCAGTACTCTGAGACAAGGAAATGTATACGATGGTTCAAACTCTTAGTCTTTCAAAGGTCTTGCTTCTAACCCACCTTGTCGACGAGTGACTAAGCTGTACGGCATGTACGTCCCAAGCATCCTGTCCCAAACTGAGAAGAATGGCTGCGAGTAGTTGTATTTAGATCCTTGTAGCTGATGGTGGATGTCGTGATAGGCTGTGTTGTTCTGAAAGAACATGTGGAAGATATTACCGGGCAACCAAAGGCCACAGTGATCATCTATAGTCTTGATTACAGCAAAGCAGAAAAAGAACACAGCAGTACGTGGTGTCATCCCTGTGATCAGGAATGACATGGCGCCACCAAAGGTGTCAAGGAGGAGACCCTCCAATGGGTGGTTGTAGAGTGCTCCAACTGCATAAGGAACAACCAGGCGGTGATGCTGGGAGTGAATATGACGGTACAGGAACTTGTTGTGGTGCATGTATCGGTGCACAAAATACTGCCATGTATCCATTACTAACATTGCCATGAAGACCTGCAAGATTTGAACTGGAATAGATGGTTGAACAGGCACCCCCAACAAGCTTGCCTGGGCAGTCACCTGCAACAAAGACGTGTGGAGTCTTACATCAATCACAGAAGTATCACCAATCAAATAAATTCTTTTTCATCAAATTCAGCATCCTCATACAAACAATTAATGCTAACTGTAAATCAATACAATGCGGAATACTTAACCAAGCCTAGGAACTTTCATAAATTAAGCACAAAAAAATGTCATATGTATGTTTTAGGACCTTTGCCTCGAACAATGTAACCAACTCTTAGAAATTGCAGATGCAATTGAGTCACCACATATGTTTTCAGACTCGAGAGTCAAGGAGATGAAGGATTGATTAAGGTGCATCACTGGTATAATTGTCATAAACATAAATATGGTGTCAGGACACCTCATACAATATATATTCCATGGTACGGTCTTCATGGTAACTCTTTTTCCCTATGGTTCAACATATGGTGTGATGTTTCCGTTATGCATCAGTGAAATGAAATTTCCATTCACATGTGGAATGTCCTCAATTAATTTGAAGACAAAAACTAGCGGTCATGAACCTGGCGTACGACTCCTCCCAAAGTAGGGTCTCCTTACCTCTCTGTATTGTATACATAAAGATACTGTTTGCGTGACTCGAATATTGCCAATGTTATAGAAGAACATCCTTACCATCATCTACTAATCATCGAACTTTCAAATCATCTCCCACAAAGGCACCTTTGTACACACGCTTCAGTATAAGCATAGTAAATGGCCCTTACATTTTTCTAGTACATACTGGAAATCCACTTCTTCAGTATAAGCATAGTAAACGCATTCATAACAAATGAGGTTTTTAAACGATGCAATATTTGAGCTAAGAGATGTCATCCCCACCGTAATATTTTTGAAGCAATATTTCTAAGATTACTGCCACATCAAACAAAAGCAACAGCTTCAGGGAGGCATATCATCGTCCACGGAACAACTTCACAATTAGATCAAGCAAAATCTTACCATCACAAGCTCGACTCACTTTCTTCTAGGAAATAGTTGAGTTGCATTAGAACCAAAATCACCTCAAGCATGTTATCAAAGAACAATCATAAGAAGTATTTTCTATTGCATACGCGAAAACAAACAAAAGTGAATCAAAGATATGCACCTAATAATCTTTAAAAGTCAAACCTACCCAACAAAAAGAGTTGGTTGTTTTGCAGGCATATTGTTCGACACAAGTCTTAAGAAAGGGCATATGAATTCTCACCAAGAAGAGCACTTGTGCGACGGTTGCTTGGACGAGCTGTTGCAACAGTACGCCCTTCACCACAGTCGACAGCGTCACCAGGTTCTTCTGCTCCTCTTCTTTCTCGGTGTGCAATCGGTAGCGGTCCAACCGCGGCAGGAGCTGGTAGAAGCCGGCGTAGAGCCAGTAAACGACGATAGGGGCGAACGTGCCCATCACGTCGTCGCTCACATACCCTTCCCAAAACACCATCTTCTCAAGAATCACAAGTCCAATTAGGGTTCCGCTTCGATCATAGGATCCCAGGAAAAGGTAACTCGAGCACTAAGGGGAAGAACTCGGGTTGAGCTTGGCCTGCGACCCAGAACCAATTCGGGGAAACGTAGGATCTTCTAGGGTTTCTGGCACCGAATTCGGGGAAACGTCGGATCTCCTAGGGTTTCTGCGGATTAAAAGAGAACCGGTTAAGGCATAACGACCGCCACGAGAAAAACAATCGAGATTTCTTGTCAGAGCCCGAGCACCATGGGGAAGAACTCGAGGTTGCACTTCGCCTGCGACCTAAGAAGATTAAAGAGACGATCCGAGGATCGGAATTATAGGTTGGATGTTTTAGAGTTTCGCGGATGAAAGCACCAGTTTGATCGGTAGAACTCCGGAAGAAGAAAAAAGATACTTTTTTCGGTGATGCGATCGACGAGAGAGAGAGAGAGAGAGGAAGGAGGAAACGGAGTGGGGATCTGATTCGATTCTTACGAGATTTTTGTTGGCGGGGGATTCTTGTTGTTCTTCTGGTAAGCGCGACGGAAGCCACAGAAGAGGGAAGCCGCCCCTCCCCTTCCGTCTCCCCCCGTTCCGTCGAAGCGCGACGACGGCGGCGTCGACGGGCGAATGACTTCTCCTCCCATTACTTTTTCGCATCGTGGGGCCCGCGTCCTTCGGCCAACTGTCGCAATGCTTTTAAAGAGATTCTTCGACGGTAAAATTATTTTTATATTATTATTATATATAACATAATAACATGTGTGGATCCGTGGCGCAATGGTAGCGCGTCTGACTCCAGATCAGAAGGTTGCGTGTTCGATTCACGTCGGGTTCAAAACCCTGATTCATTTTTTTTTTTTATTGTAGGAGACGTGAGAGAAAGAAAGGCTTTATTGGTCTTTACACAAACGGTAGAATGCTTCTATTTGCACCATGTTTTCCTTGGAGTGTTAGATATGCGCGTGTGCATAGAAAGTACATGAATAAGAAAATAAAAATAAAAAAGTATATGACGACTCGTTCATATGATTTTTTCATAGTCATTATTTATACTAAGGTCAAGAGGAGCTTCTCGATCTAGTCTCTTGGATGCTTAAATTACTACCAAAGAAAGTACATGAATAAGAAAATAAAAATAAAAAAGTATATGACGACTCATTCATATGATTTTTTCATAGTCATTATTTATACTAAGGTCAAGAGGAGCTTCTCGATCTAGTCTCTTGGATGCTTAAATTACTACCAAAGTCTATCATCTTTAATTTGGAGTTAAAAGTGTGTTTTAATCTTGACCTTAGGAGAAATAATATCTCATAAAGATTTCGTAAGGGACGTAGCTCGTAACCGACTCGAACTGTCCCTAGATCTCTAGAAATATTTATATAAATATTTTACTAAGAAGGTCGTTAATAATCGACTCAAATTACCTCTTGACTTTTAAGAATATCCCTATGAATATTCTGGATAGAAGACGGTTCGTAACGGACTTGAACTATCCTATAGATTTTTAAGAATATTCCTATGAATATTTCATTGGGAAGGTAACTTTATAACTGATTTGAGTTATCTTTTGAAGTCCTATTCACGTGGGCAAGAGGGTGTTGGGTTATTTGGGTCTCTTATATTCTCTATCATTTATTATAATTTTAAATTCTATATATATTTAAATTATTAATATAGTTTTATATTTATTTAAGGAGATAAAAGGACACTAATCAACAAATCATATGGGTTATTAAAAATCATCAATAACAACAAATTAACATACACAAACCGATAAAAAAAAAGATTAATATTTTCTTTTGATTTGAGTTTAAGATGCAAAATTAAGATCAATCGCATGTATTCATTCAATTTAATGCAAAAGATAATTCTCCTGATAATTTAATAATCATAACAATCGAACTATAGAGTTTATCTCAACGGTTAAATAATAAAAATCCAGGTTTTGTATTACGAATATGCAATTTAATGGGACAAATGTACGTGAAATCAATTGGGTGGAAGGGAGATGCGATGTAGATTTAGCAACGACGCGAAATAACTGTCACAGGGCAGTGAACCGGTGTGCGATGAACCGGGCGGCGATGGACCGACCAACGCCCATAACTGCCGTCACTAGAAAGATCATAACAAAAGGTCCGGTTCTACTGATTGAGAGCCAAAACGGCCCCCATCTCTCTCCTCTTATTTCTCTCTTCCTCTCCATTCTCTCTCTCTCCCTATATAATCCTCCTCCTTTCTTCCACGTTTCCTCCGCCACCACCTCCCCCCCAACATCACTTGTCTTCTTCCTCTCATTCCCTGGGAGGTATGCATGCACGTGTGATCTCAAACACGGCCTTTCCAATCTGTTCTTTTGAATTTTACAGGATCTGCGGTTCTGAATTTTATTATTATTATTATTATTGTATTTGTCTTCCAATTCTACAATAAAATTCTTTGTTACGTGGATCATTAGACGTATTTGTCTTCCATTTCATGAGCAAATTTCGAGTTTTTTTTATTCTCAAATGCTATTGATCGACAATTCTGTGACAATGATCGGTGTATCGCAGGATGCAGTTGCAATTTTCTATGTTAATGTCGATGGAAGTGATGTAAATTTCGATGGGACTGAGATGTTCTTGTTTCAGATACTCCAATTTTACGAGCCCGAGAAGGTCATGGGGAACAGAGGTCAAGCCTCTGCTTGCCCGCCGCGAGCCCTCGTCGCACAGGGCTCGCTGCACACCATCACCTTCGACGACGTCCAACAACACCTGTCTGAGTTGGGGAAGCCGCTGAATTCCATGAACTTGGATGAACTGTTGAATTCGGTCATGGCAGTGGAGCAGCAGATCCAAGCTCCGTCTTCTTCTTCCTCTTCCTCTTCGTCATCCTCGTCGTCGTCGTCGTGCACCACCAACGCTTCCTCGGTCCCTCCGGGAAACTACGACCTGAATTGCCCGCTCAGCCACAAGACCGTCGACGAGGTGTGGCGCGAGATCATGCGGCACGAAGAGCAAGGGAACACGGAGGGCGCCGAGACGTTCGGGGAGACGACGCTGGAGGATTTCCTGGTCCGGGCCGGCGCCATCAACGTCGGCGCTCCCAACTGCGGTGGTGGGATCGACGGGGACTCCCCGCCTCTGCTGCCGATGGACCCGGTGGTGCAGCAGCAGCAGGAGGAGTGGCTCCGGTACCAGTTGACCACCGCTCAACACCAGCAGCAGAGCCAACCCATGTCGCTGTTGGAGACAGGCCTGCCGTTGTTCGCCAACGCGGTCATGAATGCAGGGCTGTGCGACCACCAGCTCGTCGTCAAGCCTGCCTCATCGGACTCCAAAATGACCAGCGAGCGGCAGAGAAGCGACGAGAAGACGCTCGATAAGATCACGGAGAGGAGGCAGAAGAGGATGATAAAGAATCGAGAGTCGGCAGCTCGATCGCGTGCACGAAAGCAGGTGTCTATATATCCACACATTACATAGATTTGGTTGCATCGTCTCTTATGCATTGGATCGCAGGCTTATATAAAGCAATTGGAAGAGGAGGTGATGCAATTGACCAACACCAACAAGCGGCTCAAGAAACAGAAGGTATGAACGGAATTAAGAAGAAGGTTCTCTTTTAGAACACAGAAGCACGATCTGAGTTGGATAGCAAATCTGACCAACCGCACAAACTTCCTTCCATGGACTGATTGTACATATCTTAATTTCCAAAGCTTTTATGCTTCGAAAAAAAATTCCTCCTAAGATATAGAATTCCTTCGATCAATGCATCCACAATTCATTTCTCTGCAGGCGCCAAACTCCTAATTCATTGCAGCACTCTTCCAAGAACATCTTTGATCTTTTTTTTTGGTTATTTGCTTCAGAAGAAGAAGAATGGTAGTCTAATTATCATATGCTACATCGAAACACCCAAATCTTATTACTGAATACCTTCCCGTGAGATGTATCTCACTGTTAGGCACAAAGGCATTCACCATGAACCAATTCAAGTGTTCTGTTGATTGGAACACCACCCAAGCTCGTTAGCTGTAATGTGGATCAGAACACAGAATTCAACTAAAACCTACGCATGGAAAATGATAATAAGGTGAATTAAAATGTTTTCTTAAATGAATGAATCATTGGGAGTAGCAATAATGATGTTCGTTCTAAGACAAAGAAGAGGTCTTCATCAACTAAGCGGGGCAAATTCTTCAGGTTTCCACATCTGTAATTTGCTGGTCTTGCGATTGCTGGATGTGACTAATTCGTTTCAGAGACTGCACAGAAGTAGAATTTTGCATCATGATCATGCATTTTTCTTTGTGACAATGGATTCCTCAAAATGGAGATGTGAGCTAATGGTTCATCATGCTGCCTCTTTCAGGAAGAAGAGATGGCGTTGCGGGTCACTCCGCCATCAGAGCCGAGATACCAATTACGGCGTACGAGCTCTGCAAAATTTTGAGCTCCAACATGCTCCAGTTTTGACAAGATTCTTACTTCTTTGAACACCATGATATATTTAGTTAATCCAACACATAAACATTTGGCTTCTTATATCGATCTTTCATCTTTGAGGTTTCAAATAAGAGAAACTGAAGAGGGAAAAGAAATGTCTTTTTTGTTCAAACCAGTCTTTATATACCTACCTCTGTGCATTTTTTTTTTCTTTTTATGCATTGTTTTCACTAATAAAGATGCTTTTCATTCATTGTATCGAATCAATAACATAAAAATGAAATTTTTGTTCTTGTTTTTTCCCTTCATTCACTTAATCTTTGGCTTTTAGTTCCTTTTTTTTTCTTGTCTTAATCCTGTGGGATAGATAGAGATGGCCAGACTCCATGTTCCTTGTCCATCACTGACTGATCTCCTTTGTTTCCCCTCCTATCGATTTGTTCTTAGCAATCGCCACATTGCTGCTTGCCTAGCCATCAAAAGACACAACTCCATACTGATCCATCGTTCATTATCGTCAAGCGAAATTAATGAACAGGGGACGGCTCTTGCTTGATGGATGTGCGTTCCAAATCATTCTCGGCCACCAACAGTGGAGGTTCAAGGCAGCCAACCAGGTGAGAGTGAGGACCCCGGTTCCTTTTTTACTGTTAAATCTCCAACACAGGAGCTTCTTTTACTATCTCTTTCAGGAATAATGGATTTTGAGTTGGATTCCTTTGACTCTTTTGGTGGGGAATCTGAGGAATGGAGGACGATCCCGGTGGCTTCAGAAGGTGGACTTTTAGAAGTGGTGGGGGACGAACCATTGATGGCCTCCTGTTTGCAGTGCCTTCAGGATTTCTTACTTCACTGGATGCAAAGTTTTATTTCATCACCATGAAGGCCATGAATCAGAGTTTCGACAAGGTTCATTTATTGCAACCAAACCATTGCTTGAAGATAGCTTACACATCACCCACTCAAGCTGCTGTCTTCCTCGTTGCCACAGCCACAAGCTTCAACCGCTTCGCTCACGGTGAGGAAGATCCATTCTTCTCCTATTATGTCCACCAGCCCGGCCAACTTCATCTTGTGAATCACTCGCCAGCCGGGATTCGCTATAGCTAGCTGTAACATCAAATGAAATTTCCAAGCAAGGAGTTTAGATTGACCGATCGATTTCCAGAAAAGAAGGAATGGCTTTGTGTCCTTATCATGTCTGGCTAACCTGAACACCATTGGAGGTCAGCTTCTTGTGTATTTCTTCGACCGCAGGAATACCTGATGTGTCGATGTGCGTGACATCTGCAACCCACAATGGTCGGATTTAGATGGTCGTGTGAAGAAGAATGCGGAGAGTGAGATTTGGCGCTGTCTTTAAGCTGATCAATGAACTTACTTGACATGTCGAGGACCACGAATCTGGTCATCGTTGCATCGCATCCTCCTGTTATCCTCGCGAAGATCCTGCAGCAACATGGTTTCCGTTGTCGGGTGAGTTCAAGGCCAGGAGGGAAGCGACGGCCAACACTCCATGAACTGCTTCGCCTTACCTTTCTTTTACGGAGTTGGCATTCATGAAATGAAGGAAGGGTGAATCAATGCGAAGTATCAGTAAATTTGGTGTCTCAACAGCTGATGGGTACTGTCTCATGCTGCAGAATATGTCTGTCCCTTGAATCCTTCCAAGCATCTCTGTTTTAGGCACAAGTGCACTAACAATTATCTTTGCAAAGGAGATGATTACCTGGAAACAACAGAGTCATCAAATCTTCAGGTAGTGTGTCATCAGAAAGTAGCGAATGTAGTCGAAATCGAAGTCGGAATTTTGCCTGCATGTCTACTGAGGCAAAAACTAGAGCAAGATTCATCTGCTGTGAACAAAGAACCAGAGAGAGATTTGCGTTCGATCAGCTCACCGCAGTCAGCAGGCCAATCTCCACTGATCCAAATAAAACACCAAGGAAAGCTCCGAGGCAAGCTAGGAAATCCATCTTATCAACCCTCCAGATCCTGCAAGCTTCTTTTATGTCGATGAGGCCCGGGAGGGCAGAGAGGATGATGGAAGCCAGTATGGTGACTGGTGTGTAGTACAACAGCTTCATCAGCAGCTGCAAGGATGCGAATACAGTGATGGCCATGACCATGTTCGACACCGTGGTTTCACAGCCTGCGCTCACATTTACTGCGGTCCTGGAGAATGATCCTGCAACGTTTGAGGAAGAACTTGCAGTACTTATTATTACTCTGTAAGTGCAGAATAATCTAAGCAATCTGTTTACCTGTCGCAACGTAGCAGGAAGACAAGGATCCAGCAATATTCATGAATCCCATTGCCACCATTTCCTTGTTGCCATCCAGCTGATAGCCTCTTACTGCAGCAAACGATCTGCCAACAGCAACAGCCTCCTGCAATCTCATTTCAAGTTAAACGTGGCCATGGTGTTCAGCTGAATGATCCATCTGAGTTCATACGTAGAGGCAGACCGTGAGGGCGATGATGGCACAAATGAGGCCAATCTTTGCTGTCTCTCCAATGAATGGACCAGTTAGCTGTATCTGTTTGACCGAGCTCGGATTCAATCCTTCCTTAACTTGCCGTATGATCTTAACGCCATGCTTATCCGCTCTTGTCAGGTATACCAGAAGAGTTGATAGAATGACAGAGAGCAGAGGAATGATGGCAGCCAACCAGAAGAGTTTCCTTTTCCTCAAACCCTAATGACATGCCACTGGTGTCTTCAGCTGATCTTTCTATCGAAATATAAGGAGGAGTAAAACTCTGCATTACTTACTATGGATCTCACGATAAGGATGAGCACGAGGAAGGAGCACCCGATGAGAAAGTTATCGGGGTTCCACTGTCACCAGCGAGACACGAAAACATATCAAGTTCGATGAGAATTCATTGCAGGATTAGAGATACTTGCATCAAAGCTTGCTATGCTTACTGGTTGATGAACTGCAAACCAAACAGCCTTGATGACAGAAACAACATCAGTGTTGCTGGTGAAGTGATTGATCCCAAGGAGTCCTTTTAGTTGCTGAAGACCTATCACGATTGCAGCTCCTCCGGTGAATCCCACAATTGTGGCGTGTGAAAGAAAGTCCACGACGAAACCCAATCTGAAGAGTGATAAATCAGTTGAACAACAAAGGTTTTCTACTTTATGTTAGAGAATTGATTTATAGTAGTTATCTAGATTGTTATCATGTTCTAGATAGTTATAAGCATCTAGAAATTATAAGGTAGTTCGTATACCTAACTCAATCACGAGTGAAATGATGGAATATGATAGTTACTATTAAGTCTTATAAATAAGATCATAGTTCATGAAGTAAGATAGAATATGTACATTTGAGAATATCTTGTAAGTGTTCTTGTCTTATTTTTTATTTAAATACTATAATGATTTTTTTGATCGAAAAGATTTTTTTTTAATTACATCATAGTATTTTATTTTTATCGTTTTTAGACAGTAACGAGTAAACATGAGTAGAGAGAGACAAGAGATAAGATTAACTGATCAAGAGAGAGATAAGATTAGCCTAGTGATATTGCTGCAGAGAGAGAGAAGATTTACCTGATACTAAATTGACAAGAAACCACTGACCTGAAAAATCCAAACGAGGCTTGGAAGATGCCAGCGAAAAAGGTAGCAGTGAGGACCAGCGATCTGTACGTCTCAGGATGGGTGTAAGGATCCACTAGTTTCTGAGTCATGGACGACAGCAGAAGAGAGACGACGGCGACCGGTCCTATTGCTATATCTCGTGAAGTCCCCATCACAGCATAGATTAAAGGTGGCACAAAACTTGAATCTGTATTACAAGGAATAAGAATGGTGATCAAGTGTATGCTATGTGAGCTTGAGATGGCAACTTACAAAGGCCAAACTGGGGATCGAGTTTGGCTAGATTAGCATATCCGATGCTCTGCGAAAGACGAAATGGCTTTCAGAAAACGGTAGCAGAAGTCGAAGAACGAGAAGCAGCTACGTGCACACAATTCACTTGGTGAACCACCTGAGGGATGCCGAGGCTCGCGAGAGTCAGGCCAGCCATCAAGTCTCGCCTGAACGACTTGCGATCGTAGTGCCTTCCCCAGCGAAGGATGGGAAAGAGGCCACGGAGCACCGAAACGAAGCATTTGGTCAAGGAAGATGGCCTGTTGACCTCAGCGAGAACTGCCCTCCTTACGCGCCCCGAGAGCTCTTGCCATGGAGGAGGCGGCTCCGGCGCATTCAGCACCAGCAGCGACGTCTCAGACCGAGCTGATACCTTGGAACCATGATCCGGCACAGATGCAGAGTTACCTGAAGAGGACCCCGTGGTTCCTGGGTTGAAGTGTTTGGGGAAACTCCGAGAGCTTCCTGCTCGCTGAAACATGGCAGAGATGTGAGGCTACGGAGGAGGAGGAGGAGGAGGCGTGAGCTTGTGAGGAGTGATAAGTGAGATAGATATAGAGGAAAAGGATGGTCCCCTGGGAATTGGTGGACTGCGACGCTGCGATGTGATGGATTCTCTGGCGTCATATGAGCACAGTAGAAGATTCACTCCACAATCATTAGCATTCAGTAAAGTTCTCTTCTTTCATCCGAAGAAAAAGGCAAAAAGAACTCGATAGAGGTGGAGGAGTTATACCACAAGCGATCAGCTCAGCTCAGAATCATCGAGTCTCGAGCTTGCAGAATTCTACTTCGCTTGATACATAGCAGAGAAGGATAAGGTAGAGATGGATGGACATCTCCTTCTCGGCAACTGTAGCGGCCATTAGAGCAGAGCCCTACATAACTGTTGCTTGAGGTTGTCCGTCTCGTGCACTTGTGCTTCTTCGGTAACACTCACTAAGACATGCACAAAACAATCCAATCCAGATTTCATTTTTGCCGTGTGTTTTGGAGATGTTGGATGAACTCTTGCATGCTTATTGACTATTTCTTGATCATGCCAATTAACGTTTTGAATCGCTAGTGTTTGTCAGGGAATCAGAGTCGTATTTGATCCACAACAAAGGACAGTTTTCTCAGGGTGGGAACAGAAGAAATGGATAGATAGGGGCGACAGTTCTCTGTGTTCTTTGTTCGCTTGTTCTTGGCTGATCTCCATGGCCACATTCCCTGTGCTCGGACGCATGAGAGAGGGAAAGAGATTGAAATCACTGCTCGCGTGTGTGTGTGTATATATATATATATATACATACACACACACACACACACATATATATATATATATATATATATATATATATATATATATATATATATATATATATATATATATACATACACATATACATATATATATATATATACATATACATACATATACATATATATATATATACATATACATATATATATATATACATATATATATATATTTCTCTTTGGTCACTTCAGTGTTGGCAAAAAGAAAAAAAAAGAAAAAAGAAAGTACGATAATCACATGATATTCACATGCATTGATCAGTAATTGCCTCACCTTTTAGTATTAAAAAGAAAATCAATCATAATTACTGAGGAATTCGAATCCTAATATCATATTCGAAATGAAGTTTTCTCTTAATTATCTTTTCTTCCTTCCTAATTAAAAATTAATGAATTTCCACGCACCCTTTTCATCAATAAATCAATCAAATGGATCTTAGCAGTGAAAGCATGGAAAGATTAAGCGATTGACATTGATTCACTTACAAAATTGTGGAAGAAATTATAGAAACGTATGATACGAAAACAGCATATCAATCAATACTGCCAGCATTCTTGACATGCATGTTTTTTCTGTCCAAAAGTCATAACAGCTAATAATAAGTGCATTCCAATTTGGAATCCTTTGCACCAATCCAACCAGTCAAGATTTCCAGATCCAAACAATCCTTTTATACATACCTCACGCTGGATGACAGACTTTACAAGCTCCTATATCCCTTGTCCTCATCTCCTCCTCCTCCTCTCTGTCTCTCTATAGACACACATATATATATAAACCCTAATCTCTTACATGCTGTATTGACAGCGCCTGGGAGCCACCGCTCATCTTTGTCCTGCGGTCTGCAATGGCTAGGGTGGCGTTGGTCGCTGGCTTGATGGCCGTCTATGCCTTGTCTGTCTCCGCCGCGGTTGCTGCTCCGCCACCCGCCGACTGCTCCAACGTCGTCACTAGTCTGTTGGATTGCTTGCCCTTCGTGACCAATGGCAGCGACACCGCCAGCCCCAGCAAGGCGTGCTGTGCCGGTGTTGCCACTGTCGTTACCCAGAGTCCGGTGTGCATCTGCCAGTCGCTGGACGAGGCTTCCAATCTCGGCATCGCCCTCAATATTACGCGTGTTGTTGGCCTCCCCGTCGCTTGCTCGGTGCGGGCGCCCAAAGTTCATTGCGATGGTATGTTCGTCTGGTGCTCTCATGGAAATCATATCTGTGCTTGATCTTAAATTCTTCCTTATTGTTTGAAGAAGATCTGATGGTGTGCCATGCAATCTTGCTTCCTTTTGCATGTGTTAATTGTTATTCTGATCATTTGGCTTCATTGAAATCGCAGCTGCAAGTCCTCCAGGTGGTTCTCCACGTAAGTTATCTTCCCTTCTCATGTAGAGAACAATGATCGTTTGCTCTACGAACATGAATTCTAACGAGTTCTCATTGCACTCGATAACGTGATTCTAATCTTCGTTGATTAGGTGCAGCACCCACACATCCATCGCCAGGTCCATCACCATCACCATCAGGACCACTGCCATCTCCAGGACTGTCACCGCATCCGGCGCCAACTACACCGCCCTCGCCACCTTCACCGCCGCTCCCAACGCCAGACCCTCCTTCGTCGCCAGCAACTCCATCGCCAAGCACGTCAGTTGAACTTTCTCCGGCTCCGGCCGCCGATGGAGCGCCGGAGGAAGCCCCGTCATCTGATGCGCCAAAGCTCACATCTCTTCCCCTCGTCCTTGCTTGCTGTCTTCTCTGGCTTTATCTGCTGGTTTAGACTAGTATAACGTCTGGGTCTCAAGTCTCTGATTCCAAGTTCTTTCTCGAGCTTGTTTGTTGTTAGATTTGTAGTTGTTGTTAGTTTTAGATCATCAAGCATTTCATGAGTTTTTATTTGTGTAATAACGGTTGAGAGGATCTCTCATCTCCTACAAAATAAATATCTTTGTTATTTCTTATCATTTGGGTTCAATAACAATATTTTGATTTCAATGAGGACATTAAATTGATCCGATAGTTAAGAGGAACCTTAACTCGTCCGAGTCCTGCACTCGCTTTCACGAAAACTCCGATCCCACCACTCGGACGATCTCCGTATGACGACGGTATGCTTACCCCATGTCGCCCTGGCCGTGGATCGCCTTATCATATGCCCTATATCAGTCGGATCCCGTAACCGCTTCTAAACTTACCTCACCGCTTTTGGGCCCGACACGTCCACAATTTTTTAAACTTCCTCATTCTCAACACTGCGAAAGCGAATTCCTTTTCTTACTGCGAGTGACCGCCACCCTTTCCTCGAACACCTTTGCCTCTGGTTCGTAGGGTCCCCTCGCTGGTTCTCGCTTCTTTGCTCTGCTCTCCACCACTGCGGCGATGGCCAAGCCTCCTGATCTCCGCGGCCGCTGCCATGTTGGTGGTGGCGTGCGTCCTCGCGGCGCTGGCCCTCGCCGAGCGCGACGTCGCCGGCGTCAAGCGGGGTTTCGTCGCCCAGGGCCGCGTCTTCCGCGACACCTGCCGTGCCGGGTTCGAGACGCCGGCGTCGACCTACATCAGAGGCGAGGGTTTCGCCTTTTTTTGGATTTTAGGCCGTCAATCTATATTAGTTCGTGATCGGCATGCCAACTGTAGATGTGATATGGGAAGGAATTGTGGGGAAGGCCTCAAAATAGGTTCTTGCTCGACGATGAGAGGTGTGGAATTCCGTAAGAATCATACTAGGAAGTTCAATTCTTGATGTCAGCCAGGGAATTGCGTTCCTTAGCGATAGATCTTTCAGAAACTTCACGGTGAAAGAAGAAGTAGGATTGAATGCATTCTTTTGAATTCGGTAGGAGATTGTGGAATTAGTTGAGCGGCAGATCTAGAAAAGAAGGTGCTATTTACATAGATGTCATGTAAGCAAACATTTGCAATGCCATACAAGTAAAAATAGACTGAAGTTGACTGGTAGAAGGATTGGTATATGAGTGAACAAATATCTTATTTTTTTTTCATGATATATCATCTTTTACTTATTTGTTTGAGACAATGTTGTTTCGACACATTCTTTTTTCTAATATCTGAGGTGATAGACCATATATGTTCACATATGTATATAAATATGTTATAGCCTGTGATGTTATAGGATTATTTAGCCAATGTTTTATATGGTAAACTTGGCGCTTGATTTGGAAAAGGGTAAGAGACCAAGCTCAAGTTAGAAAGCACAAATACATATATACTCTAAAGATAGATAATATTTTGTCAACAGCTAAGCCACAAAAATACACACTATCTACTGGAAAAACAATAAACACCGTATCTCCTTAGTATACAGATATTCTTTTATAGTTTCAAAATGTTTATTTTTGATAGTATGTAAAGCAGAAAATGCTTGAGGTAATTATTGATGTTTGTTACCATGTCAAAAATGCTTCCTGGATTGTTTAAATGCACCAAAAGTACAATAAGGGAGATAAAAGTTAGAGCTTAGGAAAAGTTCATACTTTTGTAAGTACATAAAATTTTCATGAAACGGGGTCAATCACCTTTGATATATGCACGCCAATATCTTCCGATACTTATGTGTTCAGATTAATCACAACCAAGATATTTGCTAAACTTGTAATGTTCCTGTGATGGGAAGGCTTCCTTCAGAGGAATATTAAGGGTGGGAAGGATGTTTAAATTGTTTGAGTTGAGTCATTTGATAGATACTAAGAGTAGTTGGAGTTGAATGAGGGCAAGAGATGCGGAAGAGATTAGTTGTGATGGTAACAAGGGATTGATATATGAAGACATTACATTACTGATGGTGGGTGGGAAGAATTACAGACAACTTGGACGGAAACAGCAGAATGTTATGGAGTATACTGTTGATTAATAGAAAAAAAAAAATAGTAGGAAGAAAGAAGAGTGAGGCGTTGGATTGTAGTGAAGCTTCAGGAGCAGCCTTGTTTCACTTGAACAAGAACTTCACTTTGGCCATCACAAATTTCTCATGTTGTTTGGATGTAAATTGTCATGTACATATGTATTTGTAATTGTAAATATGTCTGAAATTGTGATTTTATGGGGAACATTAGTTTTCATGATAAATTGATGGTTCTGCCGTAGATGGTACTACAATTGTTTAATTATTGTGTTTGTGCCTAAATTACCTAAAACAGAAAAGAATAGAAATACATTCATTGTTCATCCTTTTTCTGTTCATCATTTCTTCAATTTCTGTGGCTCCAATGAACACCATGGTGAAAGTATGTCAAACAAAGTGAAGGCTGTTTAGTTTGCATCCAATTTTGGCATTGCCAATAAGTTAAATGTAAAGTTATTTTAGTGCCCATGTTCTCTGATCTGAGAGTAATTAAATCATGATGTTGATTAAAGCTTCTCTAATTGATGAACATGCACAAAGTCTTTGAATTTTTGTATGGTTGATCTTCAGTCACTAGATATTGCTCAAGATGCAGTTATATGGATTTTGTTCATATCTTTTCACATTGGCTTTGGAACGGGGGTGAGTTTCTGCCCCTCTATGACAATATCTGCCACCGCAGCTCTGCTCTTTGTGATTTTGGTTTCAGTATGGTGAAACCATTTTGTTCTCTGCAGGTGTAAAGGTGAGTTGAGTGTAGATCAAAAGTCATTGGTACAACGATATGCAGTTTTGAGTGTCACATCCTGGAATTTTTTTTTTTCATATATTTTCACACAGGCCAAATAATTAAACATCACTTTATTCATCATCTATAATCATTTATTATAATTCATTTATTCATCAAATTACAAATAGAAAAGTTAACTTCAAGAGTCATCCAAGTGGCTCTACCTAGCGGTAAAGGAAAGTTCGCTCTCCATTGGAATCCGATTTAGTACTAGAGGGAGGCTGCTCTGAAAATCAAAAACAAAAAAAATTCAGCAATGCTGAGTAGGAACCCCAAAAGTCAAATCAAAATAAATACATGATCAAAATTCAATCAATCATCCCATTGGCGTATATCAAGTACCCGAAGGAGCACTCCTCCAACAGCGGATGGAGAGGCTTTATCCTACGGGATGAGTTTGTGTTCTCCCAACAGCGGATGGAGGCAAACTCATATCACACTCCCAACAGCGGATGGAGTGGTGTCCCACACCCGGCAAAGTGGGGACACGTTCCTCCCAACAGCGGATGGAGGAACCGTCCAGCCGCCACGTCTGACGGCCCGCTAATCCCCGAAGGGAATCGCCCTACCTGCTCTTGGCAGGAATATAATCTCATACTGGTCATATCCATTTCAGGATGAAATAACATATTTAAAACATCTCTTTCAAAAATCATCAATATCAAATAATATAAATTAACCCTCAATTGACTTGAACTCTAATTTAATCGATTCAATTGAACTCGATTTACTAGAGCCTAACTGAACTGATCTCTAATCCTTATTTAACTGGTCTGGAACCACCCTAGACTAGTATAATTTAGACTAGATTAAGTTCAATTTAGGTTAAACTAACTTGAATAAGTCAATCAATTCGGAATCACCCTGAATTGATCTAGATT